TCCAGGGTCTCAGGCAGGGGTCTTTCGCATCACCTTACTGCCTGGTCCTTCCAACGGGAGATTGAACCTGAGACCTTCTGCTTCCCAAGCAGAGGCTCTTCCACTGAGCCACAGCCCTTCCCCTGCGCTCTTGGCCAATGTTCCCTCTAAGCTGTAGAGTCCTGTGAGCAAAAATTCTACTTTGTGAGCAGGTGATTTGGCTACTGCATAAATTAGCCTGCTCTGGAGCCCTCCTTCCTGAGCTGAGACAAAATGTGCGAGCTGGAGGCTAAAAAACTGTGAGCTGGCTCACACTAACTCAACTTAGAGGGAACACTGCTCTTGGCTCTCTTTCCACCTGCACTGGTATGGGGGGAAAAGTCTCTGTAAGACTAGAAACTGAACCCTTCCGAGAACTGCCCTGCAAATTCAATAGCAATCTATTATGCCAGCCTCTCAGGGACTTCCTTTCTACCTGGCTTTTTAAATCTCTCTAAGACTGAGAGAGATTTTGTTTTGCGAAGCCCTGCTGGACTTTCAACATAAATTCACCCAGGGGACCTTTGGACGGCAAGCACATTTTAAAACCCAACTCAGATAGCCCAGAGGGACTAGGTATCACATTCACATTACGTTTTTCCTTGGCACGCGACAGCTGGGTTGTTTCGGTTTCATTTCTCGAAAGGCTTTCCCCGACGATGCTCTTCTGAACAGCACTCTATTGCTTTCTTCCCATTGGACTCCACTACACTTGCAGATCCATCAAGGTTCAAGCATCACTTGGCTGAAGTGCGCCACTCCAGAGACGGTCCAGACTTCTCAAGAGGACCACTTCTGGCTGTATTTACTTACCCTAACTTTATCCCCAGAGGGGACCCGGAGTGGCTTACACTGATCTCCTCGTTTTATCGACAACCGTGTGAGGTAGGATTAAGCTGAAACAGAGTGGCTAACCAAAGTTTACCCAGCAAGCTCCCATGGTAGAGTGGGATTCGAACCTGCATCCCCCAGACCCTACTCTGACATTCTAACCACCACACCGGGCTGTCTCCTACTATACACGAAGAAACTGTTTATTCCAGCGTCACCTTACGCACAGAAGAAGAAGAGGTGGTTTAATACCCCGCTTTTATCTACCCAAAGGAGTCTCAAAGTGGCTCACAAGCACCTTCCCTTCCTCTCCCCCAACAGACACCCTGTGAAGGAGGCGGGGCTGAGAGAACTTGTGACTGACCCAAGGTCGCCCAGCTGACTTCGTGTGGAGGAAGAGTGTGGAAACAAACCCGGTTCTCCATATTAGAGTCCGCCGCTCTTAACCACTACACCAAACTAGAAGCTAATGAACCAAAGAAAGCAGTTTCCCATATACATGGAAGGAGGCACTCACAAACACACACTATCCCTCTTATATGTATCAATCAATGACAATTTCTGCATCGCAGTTGAGGGCCCCCCCCCCATTAGCTCCAGTCAACGCAAGCGTCAGATGAGAGCGAAGTTGTTCCTATATCATTTTGAGGCTACCAGGGAGGAGATCAGAAAACCCTGCAGGATCAGAGCAAGGTTCCATCCAACCCAGCATCCAAGATCGGCTAGGCAGAAACCCACCAGCAGCACATGGCAACCCTAAAACATGGGATTTAACAGGTTAGACACTTAATGAAGCTGCCTTATACTCAGAGATCATTTCGGGGGGGATCGCAGTTCCCCCGGGTGAGGTACGGGGGGCGGGACACATGACGAAGCCCCGCCCCCTGCTTCCGGCCCTCATTCAGCCTGGAGACAGGAGAAGAGGGAGGGTAAGTTGCTTCCTCCCTGCCTCTCCCTATCCCTGCCTGCCTGGGGCCAGGGAGGGCCTTCGCGGGGCTTCCTTGCACTCCCACCGGCCTTGCAGGTCCACCGCTGGGCCCCTGATGTCAGGGGGTGTGGCATATGCTAATGAGTTATGCTAATGAGTTCCCCTAGCTCTTTTTCTACAAAACGACCCCTGCTTATACTGAATCAGACCCTTGGTCTATCAAAGTCAGTACCGGTTGCTCATACGGGCAGCAGCTCTCCAAGGTAGCAGGATGAGGTCTTTCACATCACCTACCGTCAGATTTTTTAACTGGAGGTGCTGGGGGTTGAACCGGGGACCTTCTTCGTGCCAAGCAGATGTTTCACCATTGAGCCACTGTTCCCCACCCACCCCCAGTATCAAACTGGCCAACAATGCGGGATCCTTCATCCAGGCATCTAACCTACTAAACTAGGGTGAGTAAGAGCAAAAGAGCGTTGTTTGATCTGTAACCCCCTCCCACAAAAGATGCAGTTCAAGGAGAGCTTCATCCCATCACCCACCGTTTCGACAGACCCAAGCCCGCTCTTGCAGCTGGGAAGGCCCAAGCACGTGGAAGGGGCAACTTGAAAGCTCCATCTTACTTGGAACCCCATGCCGGGAGACCCTTGTCTACAGAACCCCATCCTGCCGCTTTAAGTTCCCAAGAACCACCTTTTAGGGAGCTAGAGGCAGAATATTACGGTTGCCACCTGTGGGTTGGGAGATAGCTGGAGATTTGGCGGGGTGTAGCCTAAGGAAGACAGGATTTGGGGAGGGGAAAGACTTCAATGAGGTACAATGCCACAGAGTCCACCTTCCAAAGCAGCCACTTTTCTCCAGGGGGACTGATCCCTGTCACCTGGAGATAAGTCGCAATCCGTAAGCTGAGTGAGTGTGAGCCAGTTCACAGTTTTTTAGCTTCTGGCTCACACCTTTTTGCCTTAGCTCAGAGAGGATGGCTCCAAAGCAAAGTAATTTATGCAGGAGCCAAATCGCTCGCTCCCAACTTCAATGCCAGGACCTCACAACGTAGAATCATAGAATGTTAAGAGTTGGAAGCAATGTTCCCTCTAAGCTGTGGGGTCTTGTGAGCAAAAATCCTACTTTGTGAGCTACCGGCATTCAAGTTGTGAGTGAGCGATTTGGCTGCTGCATAAATTAGTCTGCTCTGGGGCCATCCTTCCTGAGCTAAGAGAAAAATGTGTGAGCCGGAGGCTAAAAAACTGTGATCTGGCTCACACGAACTTAGCTTGGAGGGAACACTGGTTGGAAAGAGACCTTGCAGGTCATCTAGTCCCACCCCCTGCACTCTGCAGGAGCGTAG